GATTTTTTCTGCCAAATATGAATGCTCTCTGTTTCCTATTTGAGACTGATTTGGTTCATCTTTTTGCTACATTTCGTACAGCATTTTTCTACACTACTAATGTGAAATTGGCCATTACGCAAAACCAACTCCTGAGCACTGCAAAAATCGGATGATTGGAAGCTACTTTAAATGGAAGCTTAATATATTTGAACTACGGCAAAAATGCGAAGTATTATCTTAGCTAATACTCACGCGGGGTTTGACAAGAACGGTAAAGCCGATGTATTGCGAAAAGAAATATCGAGCTGGAGACATTGCTGATTCAGAAGCAACCGCCAACAATAGCTGCAAAAACCGCCTCTAACGTCACTTAGTCAAAGGCCTCCTAGCTGTTTATTTGTGTTCCTTCAATCTCTAGGATTTCTTACATAAAAAGGCTAAAATAACCTGGAAATCTCCATCTGAATCCAATTTTTCGCCATCTACAGCCAGCGCAAACGCAACTTAAAGGCGTGCGCCATTGTAGATAGAAGGATTGAGAGAGCATGTTGTGACAAAATATTGATCCCTTTCGCATCGAAAAAGGTATTATATCGTTCCTGACTGCACACAATTTTGCACAGTGGACGCGCAATATTAGCGCCATCAAAACGACGTTTCCTGTATGCCACATGCGTTGCGGCGACGTCATGCCAGCTTTTCAGAAAGTGGTAATATTTTCATATTTTTGCTATCATCCTCGGTGATAAATTTCGCGAAACTTGTGATAGAGGCTTCTCGGAATCCATTTTGGTTCATTTTTCTAAATGTTTACTGTAGAGGAATAAAAATTGCCATAAAAGAGACATCGCGCGAACCTCCAGCAGTGGAAGTAACAGTGGGCGTAGGATCTAGTTGCATGCTGACGAAGAATAGATAAGTGACGCTGTTAGAGCCATAAATTCCTCACGACGGGAAAGAGTATTTCGCAATCCTGAGGTGCGAAATTCCGAGAGCGATGAGTGTGTTCGAAAATTTCAGTCTATGTTTCGCTATTTCAAAGATTATTCGATCAAAATCTCTATGCTATTGCAAGTGGCGCTACTGAAAAAAAAAACGCTCGCTGTGAATCCGACGGACTAAGAGTGCGATTCTGCTTGCAAATGATTGCAGCATGGCATCAGCACCCATAGTGTGACGAGCTTGTAGGTATTGCAAAACATATTGCTATTGATAGAGTGAAAAGATGAACATTCAATAACTGAGCTTTGCAACTCTGCATTTTCATTGCAACTCTTGATGCACTATCTCCACTTCTTCAATCTTTCGTGCTGTTCCGGGTGCAAGTATACCAAATGCTCATGTTTGCAAGCCATATCGAAGTTGATCTTAAGCTGTATTCTAAATTTCCTTTTCATTTTCAATGTTTCTAGCGCGCTGATGGTATAGATGTGTTGGCCTGTGCGAGAGTTCAAAGATCCACCTACACCCCGCAGCAGCTTTCCGCAGCCTCGCCGCATGGACGTCCGGATGCGCCGGACGAAGCGAGGCCCGGTTGACCTCCGTTCCGGCTGTCCATTCATATGGGCCGCATACCAGAGGCAGCATTTCCACGCGTTTCGGTTGAAAATGCACCTACCTGGTATGCAGACCATCGTCTGCGTCTCCGGGGAGGCGGCGATTCCTCGCGAGTGTCTGGCCTCCGCCCGCCCCGTGTGCTGCTGCTGCCGCCGCCGCGGCCGCCACGATCAGCTGATCCGGGGCAGTGTTCGCCCGCCATCTCGCGTGTTCCTTGTGCCGCCGATGTGCCTGCCGCCGCCCTCCTCGCTCAGCCCTCAGAACTCTTCCCATTTGGTTGTGTGTGAGTCTGAGCTGTCCGGTCTGTGCAGATACCTCGTCGGTTTTGTCGTTCTGCGGGGTTCCGTCGCCAGGTCGCCCCCTACCCTGTTTGCTGCACCATATCGACCTCTCTTCTTCATCACCGCCCTTTTGCCGCATCATATCGTCGCTCAGTGTTTTACGTTCTGCTCCTCGATTCCATTGTCTTTTTTGAACTGTGACTGAACGCGTCGTGCTGGGTGGCAGTGTGGTTAGCTGGTTGCAACCGGTGACAACGGCTATCACCACTGCCGTCCTGGCGCTTTGCTCCGCTCTCTCTACTGCTTCAAGCGTTTTCTCTTCGTCGAATCGCTCTTTGGATGTTTCGCTGTGACAGATGTTGTCAGTACAATTCACAGACCATTATTCGATGCTACGCCGACTAATTGATTAATTTCTTGGACATCTATTTGAAGGTTAGAGGTGAGTTTCGTATTCTACAGAATTGAGATTTTTTTTCATAAAAATCTATCTGTAGGTTAGTGTATGTTTTGTGTAAAAAGCGTAGAATTAGTATAAGCGATAGGCCACGACTCCAACATCCGCACAGCTGAGCTCGCGCAAAAGGACAGAAGCGGTGCCGCTTGTAGACATCAGCTGAGGACCACCCACAGACCGATTGTTGTGCACGAATAGTTGTGCCTGTTCCTCACTGACTGCCGAGTTCACTGGCTGTGAAACTCGGCGACGGCATTGTCGTGTTGGTTGTGTGTGTGGTGATGGGCATTGATTGGCAAAAACGGCTGACGCTGGCGCGATCGATTCCCGAGCGGCCCGCACATACACACAAACACCATAACAAAAAGCGTCACCGCATACATCGTCGCAGGCCAACGTTCGCTGATCGCCCGTCTCGTCGGAGATGTTGCTTCTGCGACGCCGACAATTACGCCCCGGCGGAAGGCGCCAACCAAGTGCGGGCGAGCGACAAATGTCGCGCGGCGCGACATGCATCCGCTCGTCAGCTGCAGCAACAATGCTGTGCGAGCGACGCGTTGACCTTTTCGATCGGCGCTCGAGCTTGCAAAAAAGCGCGTATGCCGCTCAACTCGCCCACACAAAAACGATCGAATTGCGCCTGGCCGTTCGGAGTCCTGTTTGCAGAAGCTGTTGCTGACTGGCAACGTCAACAGAAGAGAGAAACACGAGAGAAATAGCTGAACTTAGTACCGAAGTTGGCAGCGAATAGGTTGCACCGCTCTTTTCACTTAACACGGCTATTGACATGACAATTTGTGGCAGGATATAAGGGGTTACGGGGCCTATAAGTGATTACGAATGCAGTGTTTTGGTTACCTATCAGCTGTGACAATGTGCCTCTGGAAGATCCTTGACCTTCATGATGATCAAAATCTCATTTTCGAATGGAAGCGTTTCTGCTAATGTCTTACATTCTACAGATGTGACCAATTTTCTCCCCTCTTTCCTGTAAATGTTCCTTGAAACACTCATTTAAAGTATCGATTGTCGTCCTGTCTACTCTAGACTGGTGAAACTCATTAAATGTTGAGTCAGCCCATTGTCACAACTTATCAAAGTCGATCATGCGGCTATATGGTTTACTTCATGGAAGGAGAATGGATGTAATCGCCAAATGTGGTTAATGGGTTTGATAATTGCACGTTATTGCTCATTGCTCAGGCCTTCTTGGAAACTTTGAGTCACTCAATGTTATATCAGTTCTGGGTACTCTCAAATGCAAAGGTGCAGACGTTCGTTCCAATATTTTTGTGAGCTGTTTTTTAGTTTTGAGGCGTCAGTGGATTCTTCAACTGTGCAGCAGCAGGCACAGTCGAACAGGATTCGGCATTTTTGTTCATTGACCCTTGATCTGTTTGATTTTCTTCCGTGGCACAGAGCATCTGCATTGCAACTTCTTGTCACTTGATACACGAGATGAAAATCAAAGTTCGACTGCCAAAAGCTTAAGCCATACAGGTGGATCTAGTGAAACATGCTTTGCATCGCCAATACAACAAGGAAAACGCGCTCAGCTGTCAGCACAGCTTTTTATGCGTTTTGATTTGTGGTCGTGAAATTCTCGGCCTCACTGAGGGCATCTGCCTATTTTTGGTTTGTATGTTTTATTGCTTTGTAATGGTGTGGCGAGGGAAACTTGGGGATATGTAAAATAGCTGCAGAACCGATGCGAAGTGGTCGCTATCGATTTGCCCGTGGAATTGCCATGACAACCATTTTGGAAAGTAAGTTGTATATGGAAGCTTTTCTTTAGATTTGTCTCACTGAAATTTGCTGATGTCATTCAACAGTACTGCCCATCTATAGACCTCGATAGGAAGGTTTTGTATGTGCTAACATATACCAAAATCGGGCATCCAGTTTATCTTTTTGTCTGGGAAAACTGCAATTCTTGAGATGCCTCATCACTTTTGGATCACTTAATATAAAAGAAGACTTGACCATAACGATAGCTTCTGTCGTTCACTGTAAAGGGCCCAGGTCATTTGTTTGATTTCATTATATTCTCACTGAACAAGAGCTTTGTGTAGCTTTGATTTTTCTTTTTGTTTTTAGCGTATCAGGGTCACCAGGCGACGTCGCACAATGTTTTTTTGGTTATTATTGCTGAAAAATATGTTGTGACAAAGTCTCAACAGTCTGGCATTAATGCATGAAAATATCACATTTGCATTCCGATCTGAATTAACAAGAGCTACTAGCGTCAGTTATTGTTTGAAGCGGTTTGGTATCTGCATCTTTAAGATCATAGTGTTAAGTTGGAGTTTTAGTTTTTTTCAGTTCTTTGAGCGCTTTCAAGACGATCAAAGCATTTTGGATCTTGATTATGATCCTAAGAATCATTTTTTGGCTTTGAAATTTTCGCCTATGGTTGTGATTTTAGTATGGTACGCTACTCTACCTCCCCATAAAGAAATTGTTCGAGACGTTATCCATTTCTCAGCTTGCTTTTAGGACGAGTATGTTGCCGCAAATCCTATTTTTCTTTCTTTTCTCTGCAAGCTATTTCTCTAGTCTATCGAGCGGGAGGGCTGTGCCACTCAACTTGAGCAGCAGACAAAATTGCCCAGCCAAATCAACAAACACAAGATGTTTAGAAATTTATCGAGATAATCATTATACATGCATGTACATTTTTATCGAAAAACAAGCAAATTAAGGACATGAGAGATGAATAAGGAAGAAGGTGAAATTGGCGAGAAAGTAGATGAAAGTGTTTTGGAACTCGTTGATTTTTGTGCATAATGAAACAACTGAATACAGTAAGAGGTAAGCGGTTGTGCACAAATTGTAAACTGCAAGTAATGGCACATTTGTGGCTTGAATTGAGTTTTTAAGTGGTAAAATATGCATACAACAAGTAGAGGGAGTTGAGATGACACTGCTGTAGAAACGGCAATCAAATCGTGCATAGAAGTCCGCACAAGCATCATAATAAAATCTCATCGGAAGAAGAACTCGAGTTCTCATTTTCTATTGCCATATAGCGACCTGAAATGAATATTTTTAAGCATTTCCCTACGCAGATGATGGTTTTTTTATGAGATCTGTGCTCTTTCATCTCTATACTTCTCGCGAGCGATGTGTGGTGAGAAAGCCCCGACCGAACTATGCTGAATCCAGTGACTTAAAAACATGTGACAAGAAACGCGATGAAAAAGACTGATGACGTGTGCGGCAGCGTCTCCTCGGACGCTAATCTTTGCGCTCAGAAAAAGCGTCGCAAAAACGTGTGGGTGCTGACAGCAAACAAAAAAAGATAATCATTTACGCTGGGAAAAGCTGTGGACATAGAACTTGATTATGTTTTTTTTCTTAGAAGAATCAATAGCACTTTGTCTAATCCTCAAACATTTCTTTTTTTCAGAATCGCAGAGACTTCCATCGCTTCATGGATCGGACTACGGTACGACATTAGCTATATCCCTTCAGAATCGTTTGTTCGCTACTTAATTACTGATTCTTCTAATACTTACTCGTGAGCATGTGTTTTTGTTTACGCGTCTTTCTACATTGCATCTTTGATCATTTCTATCATGTGCAGTTTGATTACACGACTAAATTACGGATATAAACTGATAAATCTTTTTTTGTGCAGTTCGTATGGTTTCATTATCCTTTTATGTTATAGTTTTTATTGAATTAGCCGCCTACCCGTATTCTCATTGCTAGGTTGCAACTCTATTAGTGCAGTGGTTGTTAGCGTTGTCGGAGTAGAGAACGTCTCCTTGTCATCTGAACAAAAAATACTTCTAGATTCGCATAAAAAGGAATTTACACTATCTTGTATGTTAACATTGGGTATCACTGATTCATATATTATGAACTTTGTTTGTCGTTGCAAAGGTAGGGGCTCTGCCCATTTCTCTACATTAAGGCTCATATGTACATCTATCAAATTTCATGACCCATTTGCATATTGAAATCACTGAATGGTGGGTGAAGCGAGAAGAAAAATTGTCGTAAACTTAATGGTTTTCTCATGTTCAGAGCAATACGGACTTACTGTCACATTTTTGCTTCCTTCAGTTTTGCTACCTACTCTATTTTAATGTTGAAACATCATCGATATGTTACGCATGTCTGTCATGTGAATTTCATATTCATCGAAAATTCCGGAAGCATTTATGACGCCATCTCGCTCGTCGCTTGCATGAATAATTAACACTTTCTGCAGGATTTTTTTTTTTTGATTTGACAGAGCTCAAAAGTCGCTCAAAGACAGCTAAGCTCAGCAAATTCAGCGCATGCAGAATGGGTGCTTTTCATGCTATTCTTACCAAATCTTACGCAGGCTAGCCTAGGGAATGATTCCTACCGGACACACTTCGGGTATTGTTTGCGGCTCCCGAAATTGACAGCAGATCCTCATCCTTGTTCAGAAGTCGTTCCAGACGTTCTTTGCATTGTCGTATTCGTCGTTCTTTCTGCAAAATTTTCAGGTGATTTTGCATCTTCTTTGCCTCTAAGTGCTGCTGTTCATCGTTTATTTTTTATTGATTTTTTTGTAGGTGATGAACTTATTATGTCCAGGATAGTGAATGAATTTTCTTTCGAATAAATAGTTGACTTTTCCCATAATCCTTGTAGCAGTTCCGAGGAACAATCATTTCCGGCGCGTTCATCACAGCAAAAAGATTGATTTCAATTCGTTAACGGATCCTTTCAAGTTCTGATTAGGCAACTTTCAAGTCAAGTATTTTCTCATAAGCACCATGGGTTCTCCATTTTGAGGCAAATCCTAAACTGATGCTAATCAGACCAAACTTCACCTTCTCAAAAATCATCACTATGTTCTAGCACATCAATGAATGGCGATGGTTTGATTCTAGTCAGAAAGAACACGTCTGGTCCTAATATTCTAGTTTTTGAAAAATCCTTTTCATCATACTGTCTGCTGTTGTTGACATTGTTCTAGATCTAGTGCACCATCGTCCCAAAAAAGTACGTTATTGTGAACTGTGAATAAAGTGGAGGATTATTATGCTTTTGCGGACTACTGATCGAAAATATGATTGATAAATACGTCTAGCACCAAAAACATGGAAAATTACACTCTTTCTCCTCTTTAATGAAATCTTTCACTTCGAAATGTACTGATTAGGAAAAATCTTGTACATTCCAAAGGTATTTGAAACAAAGCACGTACATGATTGCCACATTGCAGTGAAAAAGCTGATAAAGACAAACACGAAAAAAGTGATTTTTTGATTCGCTCGCTAAAATCAAACCGTCTTATAAATTTTATTCTAGTTTTGCTTTCGTTTTTATGACATGCTCCTTCTTTCTACGAGAATTTCGTGCTGGGAAGTCTCTACAAATAGTTATGACTTCTAAATGTTTGATTCAACTTCTCGCTTTCAGTTCGAGAAGAAAATCTTTAATTGAAGCGATAAGATACAGTTTTTGCTATGTGTTACAAAAAGAGATGATGTTGGAAAAAAATTTTCGTAACGTTTTCGATTTGTATTTTTCATATTTTTTCCGATTTTCGCAAATTCTATGTATCAACCTAATTATTTTTTATAGGTAAAAATGACGGTAATGCTTTGCCTATGACAAGCGTATGCGGACGAAAATTCTCCGAAAAGAGAAATCAGTTCGGGTGTGGTCGACAGTGTTTTAGCACCATGAAACACTGTTCGTCAAGCGACAGTCTATCGATGATGATTCTATCTCTCACTCAACAGGTTTTCATGCTCACTCGAATTAGACGCATTACCTCATCGATCTGCTTTTGAAGTACTTCGTTCTCGTGCCGTAGATGTTCATAGCGTTTCTGATCTGACTTCGACAAACCACGCATTACAGCGTTACCATTGGGGTGAGCCTAGAAGCAACAGATCAGCGTTAATTCAGCAGAGGTGTCATACAATGTAAATGCAAAATTTTGAAGCGTTCTCAAGAAGTATATCTAAAGGTAACGTTCTGCAACGAAACTGTTTTGAGAGAAGAATTGATGACAGACCCATATGTATATAACAAATACGAAATCTAACAAGGGAAACCCTTTTGTCCCGAAGTGGACTTTCTCAATAAGATGCATATCAATCAAGCGTGGCGAACCGAGGGGGAGAGGCGGGGGGAGGGGGGGGGAGAATGGGTCGTTGAATTTTTGAAATTTACTTACATGGGTTACAAAAATTGCAAGTGACCTGTTTATTCTGGTAATAATCAAAATAATTTTCTAAATTTTCTAAAAATTCAAAATAGCCTTGTAAAAAATATTTTCGGGAGCATGGCTGCCGTCACGCCCTTTTTTTCTAGAATTTAGGGGTTATGAGCCCACAAAAATTTGTAGAAGCCCCAAAAAATCTTTCGGAATGCGCCGCGAACGCACTCCGAACGCCGGGCACCTTCATTTGAAACAAATTTTTGATGCCCTCCCCCCCCCCCCATCCCGATGGAAATCCTGTGTCCACCACTGCAATCAAAAGGTCTGGAAAGCTAACAACACAACGGCTTTCTATATCCGTCAAATGGTCAAATGAACAAAGTTATAGGCATTTTTCTGCTTTTGGATTTCATTGTCAATTTCAGCCTAAATAAGTGGATTCTGTAAATACCAGATTGTTCGTAAGTTAGATAATAAAGTTTCAAAATGTGGTGTCCGTTCTCAAATAGTAGTAGAAAAGGTTGAGTAATTTTTGCCATCTTTGTCGCGCAGCAAGTACCAAAGCCAATGCGACGTGAACCCAAACAATTGCTTATAACTTTGTCGAATGAACTAAAACTTGAGGGCGATTGAGTATTTCAAAGCAGACATCATGATATATACTATAATGGGAAGTACCACACCAAGTCAGAAAGCATTCCTTATAAGGATAATGGTGAAAAACTAGGGACTAATCGTATTCAAGTTTATGGAACTCAAAATTCATGTTGTAATTCGTATCAATTATGTCTAATACGACAAAAACGCGAAAAACTTGGAAAATATGTGTGAATTCTAAAACCCATTACGCTAAAAAAAGCGAGTGAGAGTATACATGCTGACTTACCTCATCAGCCGAAGGAGGGACGCGGTAGATAAACCGTATCTTCGGCACGAACACTAACCCAAGCGATATATAAGTACATAAAAGAACTGAAAATAGTTTTATTAGCATAAGGCATAAAGGAATCAAGGCGTAATGCCTTAGAACTATGCACTTTTTTCAGGCTACATTACATACTAACATTTTTTGGATGTCTCTTTTTTTTACGAGCTGTGTTTGATCTGTTCGAAAAGAACTTCAAAAGAACATTCGCAAGCCTTCAAGTTTGCCGAAATATTTTAGTACATGTTCCCTTTATAAATCTTCCAGCCTTGACATGATACTATATTTTATGCTAAGCTCTAAAGTATGTCATGTCGCTGGTAACCCTTCCTGGGCGGACAACTGCCGCAAACAATTCATCTCAACAGACTGAGAACCGTATCAGTTGTTCGCACGGCTGAGCCATCGACGATGTACTTGATCTAACCCTGAGGTCTGGGCTGAAGCCCGAATCGTGGTAGTACCTCATCCCACAGTCATAGTCTACTGCGAGTACAAAGACGATACTTTAAATTCTAAACTCTGAAATTTTTGCACGTATTTTCGGGTTGGGATAAATCCGATTAGATTTTGCAAAACTTGCTCTTCCGTTTGACCGCAGTTTATCCTTAAACATGAACTTACCCGTAGCAGCAACAAACGCAAAATTGGCATTTGCTTGACTCCGGATAAGAAGCGTTGTGACAGGACCCGTTACTAGTGAAAGTATCGCCACATTGTAGATAGCAAGACCAACAAGGCGGGAGTCGTTCACATAGCGTAGCTTGAGGTTTCTAGACTCGTATGCGAGAAACAAGCCAAACACTAACAACAGGCACTTGTAGCCGAGTACAAGACCTGAATTTTTGGGAGAATACCAAGGATTAATGATAGTAATGGCTACTCTTTCTTACCTATCCATAATTCCTGATGTGAACTTTGGCACAATTCTAAAATTGGCAGTAACATAACATCGTCGTCGCTGCCAGCAGGAGGCTCCTTGAAAGGAATATTGATGGATTTTGAGGGGCATTTAAGAATAACTAGGTTGATTTATGAGTCTCTCACCAAAAGGTATTTGAAAAATTGTTTCAAAATTATCTAACTATATTGACTAGTCTCTAGAATATCTCTTGATACATAATCTCGAGTCATTTGTAACTTAATATGTGAGATTGCACACTAAGCCCTATTAGCGACGGCACCCATACTACTAACTTCCCAGAAACATTTTCTAGCCTAACAAAATGTAGAAATGTGTTCTATTGACCAACATATAACCAACGAAAACAAAAGAAACAAGGAAACAAAGAGAAATCACTGGAAATGTGCAGATTCTAGTTTCGCAGTTCGTCAGTTAGCGTGTATAGTGTGCACTACGCATTATGTTAGAAATGACTCGACGATATAGTATCATATACATGGTGCTCTTGTACATATCAAGTTATTTCGAAATAAAATTGAGCGGAATAAAAGGAAAATTTCAACGGTTCGTAGAGACATCCAAACCCACTAATTTCTCTTACTTAAAATGAGTATATAGGTCGAAAGTTGAATTTAGATCTAGTTGGGCAACTTAGCATCCTTCAGCGACAAAATTTCAATTGATGCCTCGAATTTTTCTTCTTTTGATTAGCTTGTACCCTTGTCGTGCTGAATTTTTGCTTCTAGCACCATGAAAGAAAGCATAAATCTTTTTATCTAAATCATACCTAATTGAACGAGTTTGCTGAACATGAAGATTGCTGCAAGTTCGCTAGATTTTGGTGAAAGACTCATAATTAACCCTTTATGTTGAAAAGACATAACCAACCAATAAAGGGAATCGCTGCTCTATCCGTTGCAGAGGATCAAACACGATCCAGCATACTATGATAATTAAATCTATGACGAAGAATGCAGTGATTACAGCGTAGAATCTTCCAGGAGGAATAGGCTAAAAAATAATGAATCAAATTATTGTAGTCATTCTTGATGTCCACTACATCATCATTGTCATACAACGTGCGGACGGTGATACATGCTGGTTACATGCCAGCCACTCTTAGTATAGTGTTTAGTGTCAAGCATGCAAGAGATTTTCTAAGATAGTGTAAAAATGCTGGAGGAGTCGAGGTATGTCTGGGTGCAGAAAAAGAAGATGATCATGCTTCAAACGGTAAGGACCGTAAATCTGTAGAGGGTGGATTGACAAACTAAGGAATGAACAACAGTGCTGACGTCTACATCCCAACGTCAGTCTAGAGTGCTACAATATAAAAATTCTACGATAAATCTCTTCAAAGGCAGTTGTTGACGGTAAGACGTGCCCAGAACACTCCAGAAGCACAACGGCGCATCGCGTATGCCGTTCGGCGACGACTAGCACTTGAATTAGGTATCGGCTATACCTCGCGCGATTCCGATCGCTGCGCGATATGAATGGTTATGACTGTTGACTGTTTGTAAGGTGAGCGTCCTTTTCATAAACACACTGCATGTTTGCATAATTTCATGAAAGTTCTGCGTCTATGCATTCAAATCTCGCGCGCGATGATTGTGTACACATCCGGCAAATTGCCAACTCGCTTTGACAACCGCAGTTCGGTGGAATCGCTCTAGGTATGACCGATGCCTTACAGGATCATAGTTTTTGTTTATGTTTTAGTGCACTTTTGCAATAAGCGAAAATACACAGCAAAGTAACTCGCATGCACAGCGATTTAAAAACGGGTGTTTTCAATGCAGCTCAATGTTCAGTCAAAACAGTGATATTTTTTGTAAAGACAAGTGCTCTGCAATCACTTGCATTAGCGATAAACTCTCCTAGAGCGTCGATTATGATGTTAGTGTTATAAGAAGTAGGAAAAGGCGATGTGTAAACTGTCTGTCTGCTTTTGCAAAACTAGTTTCGACAACTAAAATAAGTGCAAGCAAAACTGTAATATATGTTTACTGTGCATTTTATATAGAGTAAACGCTCTCAAAGGCCGTATTTCACTTGTCTTCCACAAAAGCAGCTAGCATCTAAAAAAGTTATCCTGTATAGTCTGTGTGCTAAAATTCTTCTCGTAGGTACAACCTAGTAATTATTTTGCTCAATATGTGTGATTGCAGTACCTAGATTTTGCAGCCAAGGTTCCAACCATCTACGCCTAAAACGCCTGCCAACTGCGCGCGAAAAATACTGGCGTTACTGCCATGACTATACATTCACGCGCAAACTTGGCCGCAAAATTTCGACACTGCAAGCACACTATCTCAAGATGATCTACCTACTGTACCACCTCAACAACAAATTTTCTACCATTATGCGATGGTGCAGAGGCACCAAGGTTTGATTGCTTTGTCCAAGGCAGTGGTTCGGGAAAGTTGCGACAGCAATCTTTTTGCACCTACATGGGCTTCTGGATCCGCTGTGTCCAAGACTGTGCTAGAAAAATGAAAAAAGTGCTTTTCGGTGTTTTCCGGCCGAGATTGCTGAGGAGGCTGGACGAGCGATTCTTGCTAATAACGGCGACTAGCTGCAGGATACTGTAAATTCACCCATTTTGGGGCGACTAGCTGACCGGCTCAGGCAGCCAATCGCGACTCAGTTGGCGATTGCACGCCCATCCCCTCCAGCAATCTCCAAGACCGGAAAACGCCATGAAAAGCACTTTTTCAAGCACAGCCCTGGACTCAGCGCATCCAGAAGGCCAACGAAGAGATGGAAAGCTCGTAACTGTTTTTCCGAGCCACTGCCTTCAAGCAAGCGCCAAAGACTGCGCAAAGGCGGAAGAGGCGCATGCGAAGCGGCGGTGCTCATTGGAACAACTCTAACTTTGACTATATGATAACTAGGACTTTTTTTGCAAAGAAAGGATTTTTTGTATGTGCCTGTCGTCGACGAACTGCTGGCATACGTGAGCGTTAGTGAGTGATGACCTGATTCAGAGTGTTGATCCGCCTAGAGACGGCAAGCGTGCCGTAAGCATTACTGGAAACTTTTCGAAGTGCCGCGGCCACGTACGCCTGACGTCCGACGACCGACGCGATCAGCGTTCGGATGCTCTCCCATGGCGAACCGTCCTCCTACAATAACCGGCGGCTAGGCGTTCATCTCACGAGACTACAGGTGGCATCACATATCTTTCAAAATAGAGTGAAATTACGTGTGGAGCGGTGAGATGAAGAAGAGGGGGGTGGGGGTGGAGAAACACAGTAAGCGAAATGACTGGTCACGATTCGTGCGTTCAGTGTCGTGAACGATCATGTCATAAGCAGAAATGGCTATGCAACGTGGACCAGGGCCGGGAGAGAATGGAGATGCATGAGTGGTGAGAGGGAATGAATAAAAATTGAGACGGACAAGGTGGCATTGACAATACTGTGGACTGTATTGAGTTTGTCTAAGGTGGCTTGTTGATGCTTGCATCGTAATAACTCTTACCTTCTCCTCATATGTGTTCAGTAATGGTTTGTACTGCAAATTAGAGATGATTTACTGCAACAATGCAATGGTTCTGAACCGTAAGAAGAAGCGGAATTAATGCAAAGCAAAGATACCCGAAGATAATGAGAAATATAGGCGCATTCTTGATGCTGGCCTCATCGATGAGTGCCCTTCTTGACCTACCTCGTCCTTCTGGCGACTAGCCAACTGCTGATTTTCGCTGGCGCTCATTCGATGCACTATCCATACTTTGGCAAACATCGACCCGTATGCAAAAGTGAAGCCAATCATCAAAATGGATATTCGCGACTAAATATAGGATATGACGGCTGAGGTCCATAGTTTGTGGCAAAATCTGGACTAACATGGCACAGTATAGAAAATGCTGATTGAGGCAATGCAATCCCCTCAGAGGGCAGACCCATCAAAAACAACGAAGCGATGCATAATGAACAGCCGCTAATCATGATGTTGTTGCATTGAGGCTGTGATTGAACGATCACCCTGAAACAGTGAAAACATGAAGAAAATTTGATTCCTGACTGTTCGAGCTGGGAACCGTCCCAAAAATGTTTCGAATATATGAACTGTAGAACTGTGGTTCAAGTGGATCTGGCAGAACGCCTGTTTACGTTAACATCAGCGATGGCAGGAAAAAAGAAAGAAGAAAAATGATTGTTAAAAAAATCTGAAAATATGTCATGCTTTCCTAAAAAAATTTTTTGGCAGTAGTCTCGATACACCTGTTTACCTCGTAGGCTCGCGAACCCATCTTAGGCAACTCAATATCCATTTCATCTACTTCTTCAAACAAATCGCAGCACTGAATTATCTCGACAATCGGTCCTTTAAACCTGGCCAATCGCAGCCGAGGCGCTGACCAATCAAAGACGCGTTGCGACGGCGAGGGGTGTTCAAAAGGCCGGTCCCTACTTGGTTTTATCTTTTGGCGGAGTGGAAAGTTGATGAAGTGGATAAGAATGGTGTGTGCTTTCCGATTGCATAGAGTTTGAAATCATTCCCTATTTTACAATCTGAACTCAAAACATAGCTCACTCACCCGCGAAATGCGTATTTGTTGTTGAAGATGAAGGCCCCTGCTGCTAGAGCTAGACCAATAAACGCAAAAACAGAAACAGCATAATAGAGCTGAAACGGAATCTTTCTTGCAGAGACGTGTCATTATCTTGTCAATGAGAAAGGCTGATTGAGCTTTCTTTTAGACTATCCCGGAAGAAATGCTGACCTCACTGGCGACGGTAAGCATCGACTCGCGGATGATTGTCGAATCCGGTGGTGGACCTTTGCTCGAGTACCACTGCTCCTTACCGTACCATTCCAACTCTTGCGTTGTCGTGTCATAAAAGCCCATGACAACATATTTGCCGTCTGAATGATAATTATTGATTTTTTTAACGCCATATGTTGTAAATGGAAATCCCACTCTGCATTTGCTCAATTTGTGTTCTTGCTATCCTATCACCAGAGTCCGAAAACATCACTCTTCCCTAGAATACTCAAATTGTGTGAAAAAACCCCTTTGCTCTGCGTCGACGCAACTCGTCCTACTCACCGAAACCCCTCGGAAGAGCGTGTTTTTGACGCACTCGAACAGAATATCGGCAATCATCTGGTTGTCGTAAGTAAATTGTTCTAACCGAACGCCCTTCGGCAATCGATTACGCGTGCAGTTGAACGCCAGAGCCAGTGCCCTAAATTTTTCTAATTGTTGTGTTCTCCTCCTAGCCGGTGAAGTACAATCGCATAAAATGACAACGGGCAGGGCAATTAGCAAACCAGATTACTCTTTCTTTATCTAGGAACAAAAGCAAGAAGCTGAGTTTGAGGACTAAATCATTACCGAAGGTGGAAAACTTTAACCCAAATACTTTCAAATCCTAGTCAGAAAATTATCGACAAATCAAAATTGTTGCTACCTGTCCAACGTATTAGGAAAGTTTCTGAACCAAGAACAATTCAATGTACCTTTTGTTTTATCACGCTCTTGTCAAACTTAGAGACCATCAAGTCAACAAAGACAACTTCCTTTCCGGTTTCTCTAATTTTCTGCAGACTGGAAAAGAAGAATAATTTTGCCTTTCCGTCACTGTACTGCAAAGAGGGTAATCACGCACTTCCTTGAAAGGGACTTAGTGAAGTTTAGATTCAACCCAGGTAAGAACTGGGCTTGAGAGCTTGCATAAAGTTGTTAAAGGCACGGTTTCCTGATCCAGCGAATTGCAAAGCTATATCAAAGAAATCAAAAGCGTTCAGTCTTGCCAGCAATTTGTGATCAAGAGAATGTAAAGTGATTCTCCTTTCCAATTCATAAAAAATTTGCAATCAGGAAGAAAGTTGTTCTTGTTGACGTGATAGTCTTTGAATTCAACGATGGCAAGGAAACGAAAAATACTTCAAAATTTGCATTGTATATACTCGAGGTCAACACCAAAGGTTTCGTAGTAAAATGGCACTTGCCTGTCTTTCGAAGATAGTTTCATACCACTTGTCTTCTATGCTCACATTTCATTGAAAAACTCTTTCAGCAGGCCCTTCGGTTATCCTTCTATTTTTATTTGACAAAATTAGTCAAGCTTAGGCTGTTAGGTCGGTGCACTTCGGACAAAACAAATAAAGAATTCTCGTACCACATTTGAATTGGCAATGATGGTGGCATTCACTACTGCCGATCACCTGCCGCAAACATTTCATGCTACTTTGGTTCGTAATAATTTCCTCTTTACAAAATTTGCTTCATGTTAATTCAAATTAGGGCTACAGTAAGATACATAAATCAAGACGCGCTGGTCAAAATGTTGGATGCACATCTTTACTGTGAGCTGAAGAAGCGGCAAGCTTTTCTTGCAACTATGAACTATTGAGACAAAAGTCAAAGCAAAAAATTCTAAAGAAAGAGAAAGTTCTAGGGAGATTTTTACAAATGTGCAACATTTTTCTTGCAGTATTGCAAAACCTATACGATTTCAGAGTGAAAAATCCACGCTATCAATATATGGAATTATTTGCAAGATTTCAGGGCATATAACAAGCAAATGTTTTGAATTTTGGATCTCGTGCAAAGTGAAGTGATAGTAGGCATAGTCTCAGCGGATATTTTGGTGATTTCGTGGTCTAAGAGCGGATGATACTAGAATAAAAATGCATTACAATGACACAAATGGATATGGCAATCGAAGAATAAGCAAAACATTAGTAAATAGAGAAGATATATGGAGATTTTCGTTATTGTATGCTAATTCCAAGCCCTTGTTTATAAAATGTATGAGAACTTACCAAACAGCATCATAGGCGAGAGGAGCTTCAGGAAAACCACCAGTGTTTGCCGGATCCGAGTCTGGCGAGAGCATGGCTGTCAGTCTAGCTTGGAATTCTCGTCCAGTCATTCCGGATATGGTAGCGTTCTCGTCCCGAGACAGCATCACACTTTCAGTGGTAAAGTGGTACTGAGCTGCTTCCGCCATCTACATCCTTGCAGTAATTTGGACAGTAAAAGTGAGAAGCGCCTTACCTGCTCTGCGGTACAGTTAAGATGTTCATCTGGTGGTGGGATGTACCAAGTGTCAGCATACCATCCAATAAAGAACCAGGTGTATTTACGGCCATAAAGGTTGTAATGGTATGCCTAAATAAAATTCGACTGTTGTGACAGAATTTCTTTTTTTTTGATATAGTTTTTTTTGCAAATGCGTTAGCCGTAGTGTCGCTATAAAGACTAATGCCGGACGAAGGCGCAAGCCGCAGATCGCAAGGCGCAGGGTCTACAACGGTAAAGATAGGTGTGCGACGCGTTCGCGTCCGTTCAACTATCAATGCTTTTGCACCTTCGTTTAGCAGTAGCCTCCATTGAATGTGCGTGATCTTTGTGAAAGTAATAATCATTTCTGATTGTTTTTACTGTGCATTTCAATCCTTTCGCATCTTCATCCCAGAACAGTTGATATCTGCCTTAAAAAGGCACAATCAAGTTTTAGTTAATTTCAGAACGGAGCTTTATAGCATGACACAAGTGAATTGCGAGGAACGTTAATTTATTGCCAGCTTCAAGAAGAAATAGGCTCAAAGTGCATGACGGAAGCGCAGTAATGAATGTTTTTCAAGACGTCTTAGACTGATAATCTGTGCTCTTTGTAAGATTTCTGATAGAGGATAGGCCTTCACAAGTCCGCTCATCGCTCAGTCAGCCATTCATTGTTGAACAGCGCCCAATCTAAAATCGGGAAATTGACAAATACCGCCTCCGGGCCCTATGAGACCGTGGCAGACATGCGCACCCCTCAAATACCCTCGGCTACAACAGGAACAAATGCCAGCGTCCTTGAACACGCAAGCGCGCGAAATTCAAAAACCAAATTTCTTCATACTAATTGATAGACAATTATTCGTCTGCAGCATGCACGCTATGCTATGAGACCAAATTTGGCGTATACGGGTCACAAAACATGACGATTTGTAAGATTTATATGGAAGGGCCATGCCACGTTTTACATCATGACAGTCACAAATCATTCCATAAATCTGAACTACATGCAATAATCGCTTTTTAGTGAAAGTATTTTAAAATTTCCTTCTCCCTCGTTGCGAAGACCTGAGATAGCACTAAACATCCATGCCTCAACAACGAATGCAGCACATTTGAACAGCATAGTGCAGCTGGTGTACATAGCAAAATAGCAGGGCACAGGTGTCAAAAATGGCTACGTTTTCAAGTCCAACCCCGTACCGGGCCTCAAATGAGCAAAACGAACAGAAAAAAAGAACAGTGAGAAGATGAACTTTTGCGACAATTAAACAAGACACAAACATTCTCTCATTCCAATCCGAGATATAGCCTACCATGTTTCCTTCATAAATATAATTTCTGTGAGAAGAAGGGAGTAGCATTACGATAACAGAGTTGGTGTTTATAGTTAGCCTAGTTTAGATGTAAGTACATTGTTAAGCCGTGATTGAATGTATTAAGCGCTTCTATAAGTGTAACATTTCCCTCTGCTCTGCGACCATCTTCATGTCTTTATTCTGAGCTTGAAACCTGGTTTGAGCTCGAAATCAAGGCTGCCTGAGCGAGTCCTAACGCGCCGCAAGAAAATAAACCTAATATGGATGACAGTAGGTTGCTTTTATGTATTGTACCGTTTAGAAACTCTAGTGTGCTGACTACAGGCTATACAAATAGGCACCGGTAAGGGAAGGAAACAAAGACATGAAGGTCCTTCTAATGTCAGCGATTTATTGCATTTCTAGTGAGAATTTTGCAGAATTCATGGTTCAGAAAATAAGCCTTGTCGCCAAAATGGCTAATCTTTTACTTGCTCCTGCGTGTAGCGGACACATGCACTTATCCCGTATACAAATTTGCTGCGAGAAAGGGCAAACTTCCCCTTTGGTGGACCCAAGCGCCTAATTACGCGGTATGTACCACAAGTATTCGGAACTTTAACCATGAAATTTCAGATTTCCCCATGCTGTGGTTTCTGAGAAAAATCACATTCTTTATTTTAGCGAACACATGGTTTATTTCAAATGACACAGAGATCCATGTGAGCAAAACATGTCTGTCTGCTTTTTCTTCCGAATTCCCCCTACTTCCCACCAAACTAGAGTTTAGGAGGCGTTTCCCCGAAACGGCGTACATGCCACAATCAGTCGCCTTCTGAACTCTTCAGGGAATTCCCGGGAAACTTATCCGATCAACAGCACGGAGTATGCGAATAAGCCGACAAATCCGCTTATCTCCTGTCGATCTGTGCGCGTGCGCTACTGCATTCGGTAGGGCCGTGGGCATATATGGGCGAAGTCGAAACGAAATAGACTATCGAAAGCGGGGCGCGGAAGAACGATGGGGCGCATCCCTCTGGGGAGCACTGGCGTCACGAGCATATTCGACATGTCGTGCAGAGCTGTGTTTAGGGCGATCGCTGATAAATGACTACCGAATGCGTAAGAGGCATTTAGTTGGTAGGAATTCCACAAAAAACTCTGACATCTATAGCCTTTATACTTGTACTTTATACTAAATTTCCAATGAAAGCATGAGCAAGTATCGTCGAGTTATTTGTTGCACACCACGCGCGCTATTTGTGGACTTGTAAGATTGAAATCTGCTCGTTTCCACTGATTTCTCCTTGTTTGCTGTTCTTTTCTGGTTCGACTGAATTTGTACCGAATATTCGTACAGTTTCTACAATTTGTTACACTAGAAAAAGGTATGACAGAGGATTTATTAGTAAAGTGTCGTCGGTTGCCGCGCCTCGTGTGCAGACTCATATATTAGATTACAAATGACCCCAGGAAGGAATTTTTACCTGACAGAGCACTCTTCTGGCTTCGGTGACGTAGAAGAGACCAACGATGACCCGGGCATCTTGTCGGCGAAGGGTTTTCATGGCATCTGTAGGATCTCCGTAAAAGCTTTGGCGCTCTACGCGGATGCCTTTACTTCGTCCGAGCTCCTGAATAATACTTCAAAAGTGTTTTACTTTTCTGAAATTACGGCAAATTTCGAGTAACTTTTTCTATAGAAATAAAAATGTACTTCAAAATTTTGTCATCGTTCAACAATTTTTACGTTGTTTTCAAGTCATACTGTCAAATAGTGTAACAAATTTTTTTCCTAATGAAACCCTTTAGTAGCGAATACATAATATTCCGCATGAAATCACTATTTATGCCTTCAGCTGATCTATAAACCTCCAAATCCTTTGCTGTAGTTGTGAAGACTTCCTCTACTGATTGCAGTATCGTAACCTTCTTCCAGCGAAATTTCTCAAATAACCGCATTCTGAAATTTTTCAAAAATTGAAAGGGGCCCATTATGTGAAGAAATTTTAATTTCTCGATATAAAACCACTAGCCTCGTTGGATTTTGCATATTGGCAGTTGGGTGCGTTCGAAATAAAGTTGGAAATCGTTCCCTATTCGACAATGCTGGTGAGCTGGCACCGTAAGAAACCTAGAAGAAAGGATATTTGGGAAACTCGAATAGGATCATATTCGCTTTGCAGGGGACTCTGTATTTGCAAATGTTTATTGAGTTCATGAGCGAAGATAGTTAACAATTTGCTTTCACCAGCTCTCAATCGACATAATCTTATACAAGCATTTTGTTTTACGCAGCAGCAAAAGCGATTCGTTTTGTGTTAAATGCAAATTTCCATGCAAGACAAATCACATTTATGATTCACGAGATTCTGAGGTATGTTTCATTTTTGTGATGCAATTGGAGGAAATTTATTCGACTGAAGTCAGATTTGTAAGGTTTTTATAGTTCTTGGGAAAACTAATGAATCTTTGTTCTCTGAGCGAGACCTTGGGTCCAGTGCTTTCTTCACCCTGCGCATATTACGGCTTAGCTTTCACGATGCTCAACATAGCGCACCTGCGATGCCGACAACATTTAGGCGTGAAAAATTGCGATCATTCAGAATGTATCTAAGACCAATTTTTTGCAACTTTTTCCGACACAGCCAAAGCAATTTTTTCAGCCATATGTTAACGCCATAAAGCAGACTGCACATGCGTCATATGTTAAAACAAGTGAAAAATGCAAGTTGCAGCCATTTCCAGCACGACAAGAATATCAACTTTCGCAACCAATTCTCAATGTCATGCACATTCTTTTTTCGTTCCCGGGTGTCGCTCACGAGAAGTCTGATCGGTCTTCACCTCTGAACGCGAGGTGCCGACGTAAAACGCTGACCGCTGTGTAATTTGGATGTGACTAGCGAACATTTGCCGTATATCTCGTTTCGTTTCTATGCTTGAAGGTATCGACAGGGTTCATGGGTTCATTCAAAACAAGGAAGCAAGCGGCCATGTCGAGCCACCCGGGCACCCCCGTCGAAAATCGGCGCCGATGTTTGCATGAATGGCTCGTCAAGTAGTCATGTTTCCGCTCGATCTGCACTACCTCAAAACACATGAGCCACGTCGACAAGTTAGATGACTGCACTGAGCGATAAATCATCGGTCAATCCGTCCAAGCACGGCCCTAAGTAAGTGCTCGTTGCAGCACGGTTGTTATAGCTGTCGAAGAAAAAGTCCGGGAATGAGCCAAGACGTTCGGTGCATCGACAGACAGTTTAAGAATAACAGCACCAGTCTGCATAATTGAGCAATTGCGCTGTTAATGGAGAAAAAACCAAGCAGAGCAAAGAACTGAAGGATTTCCGCGCTATTCTTGCTAAACAACATTTCTATCACATCAGGCAGAACATAGGATGTTGTGCGAAAGACATAAAAAACGCGTGCGGTATCGAAATATGAAGCATAACGGAAGGTAATAAATTTCCAGATGTTCAAACGAGACTGGGCTTTATGACTCGTTTTTTTAAGGCCGTTAGTCACGGAGTTCAAAATGAGAGGATGAGCAAAGAAAACATTGGATACTCAAGCTTTGGCCACGAAAAGAAAGTTGAAAATCAACAAATCATTCATAAACATGTAAAGATCTAGGAAACAGAGTGCCAAATATTTTACGAAAACTTACCACAACTAGCTTCCAAACGGGTGCTGACTCGGCTATCACAGTAGTTACAGGTGAACAACCGGCTAATAACATTAATTTAGTAGGAGGTGTATACAATAAATCATAAAGCTGCTGAGTGGCGAGACCGGGTTGACACTGGAAGCATGGACAATCAAATTCTAAAAAATACGAAAATCGAAGGAGTTAAGAAACTAACCTTAGAATTGCTCGTATTCATATGGAGCACATACCCAGGTAATACATCAGGCCTACTGTTAACATCTTCTAAGGCCATTTGTACTGCGGGAAGACAAGCCTAAAGCATTATTAACGAATTCTTTATCGAGTAAAAAGAAAAGAATCTACCTGTCCACCAGCCCATCCCCCCGAACCAGCTTCCATAGGAAATGTACCGCCGATGTGCAGTGGTATGGGGTCATCGGCCCTAAGCGGCCCTAAGGCCCCAACCAATACAAGCCAAGACAATACAGTCATCGACGCATAGTTGTGATTTTTACTGAAATATTTGAAATGCTGATTGAGAGTTGGGGGACTCATTTACCACATTTAATAAGGGATAAGAAACGAGCACATGCGATATGTAGTTATGATTGTGAAGGAATTACAAACACGAAAACATAGAAGGAAGCAATGCTGTGAAGGGGGGCGGCTACCTCTGCTTAAAGCATAGAGAAAGCTATTTCATTTGATATAAGCAAAATCTGACAGAGAAAATAAAATGAGATTTACTCTGATAAAAAAGGTATATGATGGCAAAATCCTCATTCACAAACTCAACTATTCTTCAAGCATAATGTAGTCTCTTTCTCAATAATCAAGAAAAGCATCGGAGTGAATACCCAAAGGAAGAACGATGAAAAAAAATCAATGTACGCAGCAGTGAAAAGGGCGGAAAGAGTAGTATGAGAGCACGCGTTATGGAAAAATGAAGAGGTAATCACTAGGGATTTGTTGTTGATGAAAAGAAAAGTGTAGAGGAAAAAAATGCACACAGAATTGTATCAGTATGAAAGCGAGAGAGTCAGGAGCTAATAAAATCATAAAATATCGCATGAACGGGCTCAACTCTAAAACAACAACTCATATCGCTGAATTGTTTTCGAATCGAGACGATTGACTCGTGATGCATAACAGCCGGTCTTTATGAAAATGTGTCTGAAAATCCAGGAAAGAATATTTTTGAGAGGATCCAGTGAAATTTTACATGTGTGAAGCCTTTAACTTCGACACTGTGGGAAAGCTTTTCTTGTGGTGTGAGAAAAATTGTGATTTTTTGATCGCATAGGTGTAGAGATAGGTGGGAAATTTTAAGTGAGTGCACTTTACACCTCAATGATTTATCACTAGTTTCCAAATGAGTGAGTGCATAATTGGAGTTTGAACTTCTCTGGAACGCACAAATAATACTTGTTCGATATGGCCGGGTATTTTCTTGGAAAATCTCATCAATATTTTCGCAGTAACTGTGACCTGCTTACGATAAAATACATGCGAGAATCCCAATTGCGCGTATGAAGCTCATTTACATGGCCGAAAAATAGTATTAACAACGAGATCTAAACGCAGATAAAAATTCAAGGAAAACAGCAACAAATGATGGTAAAAATTTTCTGAGAAAGTTGACAGTTTTCAGATATACAGCCCCCCTCCCCCATGGTAACATTTTTTGAAAAAGATGGCTGCGCACTTCGGGACAATGTAAAGGTTCCGGAGACATTTTGCTCAGCTATGTACGCGCATAGATTCGATCAAGAAATCGAATATTAGGCACATATTTTAGCGAGTTTGAAAAGAACAGTGCCAGCAATTTTCCACAATTCCCTGACCATTCTATATTCTGCTCAGAAGCTCTTACTTCTTAACGATCAAACCTTGATCGGAATCAGTTAAGCAGTGTTTTGCACTTTGTGAGATACTAAGGCTCAACATAGTAGTGTAAACCTCCTACAAAATACGCAATCTCAACAAAAAAGTAAGTATACGAACGAATAAGCAAATCTGTGAACACTTCTTGGAGAAAAAATCGTGAGAAAAATACCTTATGATTACGTAACAGCCTAACATCAACTTTGCTAAAAATATTTCCACCATTCATCTTCTTCGCGTGATTGAACTTCTCCGACTCTGCGGAACAAAAAAGTGCGGAATAAGTCGAAACAATTTTGCTCAGATGCACATGTTTCTCAAGCTAGAGTGGTGAAAACTATACGAAGAAAAAACTGTCTGCAGATGTTCGCACGCTAGGGTTCATTCAAACAGCAGTAAGATATCCATGGACCGTAGATTAGTTTCGCGGAAATTGCGAATATGTAGAAATTTATTATGTGGAACAGGAAACAATGTAGCATGAAGCAATGGATAAGAACCGGGCAATTGTCAGCAAAAATTACTTTGACGACCTCTCGAAAAGTGTAAGTGCAGAGCATAGGTGTTGTGATTTATAGGCAACGCCTACGATTTGGAAAAGAAAGGAACCAAATGTAAGAATTTGCTAAAGAAGAAACTGTATCTCTTTATGTTTTATTACTGCAAGGCGATATTTGGCGCACGAAATTCTGCAATGTTTACTTCCTCAGCGGGGGTTTAGAGCGCAGCACGGGATAAACATGAAGCAAGCATAGCTCTATCCCAACTCGAACATGCACGGGTTTTATGATCGACTCAGTGGCAACAAGTCACCCCAACTATCACTTTCTTTACGTAAACAAACAACACAACATCCATGTTATGCATATCACTTGAGAACATGAACGTAAGACGATAGAACGCGCGAAGCTAAACGTTGGTGTAAAGTGATAATCAAAGGCGCCGCCCTGGCCGAGGGGAGCAGCTCATACGCACTCACACACTCACACATTCACGCGGATACACACAAGCACAGACAGATGTGTGTAGGGTGTGTATCTGCGTATACGCTCATGTGCTGGATATGCCTCGTCTCGGCTCCCGCCCCGCCTCTTTTGCCCTCTTATCGCAGATGACCGCAGCGCTGGTCTTCTCCCATTTTTCCAGTCGACAATGAGATTGTGGCTAATTTTCTACTACATATTAGATGTAGAGCTGCGTAAATTGACAAGAAATCGGTGTAGGACACGTTCTTCACGATGAGCACAGCCAATAAATCGAATAAGCGCTGAATTTTGAGTTCGTGCATCATATATGGAATGAGAATGCGATGATACCCGCTAAAAAATACCTAATTTATCGGATTATGAGCTCGGATGAGCACAGCATCGACTAGCGTGGCAGATGCGATTGTGAGAAGAAGAGATTTCATGGCATGAGCAACTCTACACGATTTAATCTATAGCTGAAAAGGCTCGCTATGAGAAATTCCTTTTTTTCTTACTTATGGATATGGATGTACAGTCAGTAGCAGTGTGCGTTTCATATGAGTGAAACGCTTCTTAGAAGAAAAGCAAGGCAAGCATCGTCAATAATGAAATTTTTTAAATTTATATGCACTAGCACACAATACTTACAACTTGAGTCACTCCAGTTTTTCAGGTAAGCATATTATAGCTATAACAGTAGAAAAATTGCAAGTATAACGAAAAAAATAGAATTCCCAAAATAAATGGAGTACACACATGTTAAGAAAAGTTATTCCAACGGAAAAGTGTAGAAATAACAGGCAATCTTTCAATAGAAAATTTGTGAAAGTAATAGCTACGCTTTACTATCCGCAAATCTGTTTAGCATTGCCAAAACCAATATGTTTGAAAGAAAAGCAGATTATAGCAACATGAAATGTTGTCATATTGCTTCTTGAGATGTAATCCATTTTCTCTTTGGAATCAAAAAAAATGTTGCCAAACATGTAAAAAGCCATGTAGACTCAGATATTATGTCAAAAACGCTATCCAAGGTTGGAGATAATATATCGTGGAAGGAACATTTCAAAGGAATAATGTTTCCGTGGAAATATACTATTATTGGTTCGCCAAATAGTTCGCCTAAGATGTGAGCTGAAGACAAGTGAAAAAAACGTAGGATTTGCGATATTGCCACAAAATATTTGCTATGTAGAGACGGTCACTATGGCTTCTGAGATCTGAATTCCAGCACAGCCGCTGTCTAAAATTTTAGAGAACGCAAAATTCCTACACTCTAGAAATTATAGGATGAGCGCAGGGAAGATTAGTACGCGAAAGTGCTTTAATCAATACCTTGAGATTTGAAAAATTCCATTGTCTGACTCACATCATCACCTCGCAGTGTTGTTCTTTTGTTTAGATTGAATGGAATTCCATATAGCGGATGAGGGGGCTCAATTTCAATGGATTCAGGAGGAAAAAAGCATAGGAGGAGATTAGCGCAAGAATAGTGAGAAAAGCAATCAAGGAATATTTGAATTGGAGTGAGTAAAAAAACTGAAACATAAGACTGGGAATGATTAAACAATTCTCCGAGTAGAGGAACGATTACCACAGTTAGGCACCGTCTCCGCGGACTGCTGGTCTTTCGTTACTATTGTACAACGTGTGAGGACCAGTAGTCCGCAGGACGGTGCCTAATTGAGGGCGTTCCTCTACCCCAATTTTCCCACGAAATGCGTTAAGGGCAGAAATGCGAGCTATTCAGAGGTGGTCTGTGTTGCAATAAAAAAACACGGGCCCACAAGAACGGCCTTGTCGCAAGTCTCAAACAATAAACTTTTTGTTTTTTTGAAACTCAAAAAGGAACTACTTTTGAGACAACCTTACGTATATTTTCTATGCCCGAAAAGTAAATAACATCAACACTTGAGGAAGATATAAAAAATGTATATGTAATTTTGGTTATTCTTCTAAGGTTTGGATTGACTGAAAACTTCTTATCGAAATTGGAATGGCAGAAACGGGAGCTATTCAAAAAAAATTGCAGGCCCAACAAGTGCTTTTTTGGCAGAGATATGTTTCTTTTCCTATTTTGAGTGAACGGCTTGGTTCAGCCGAAATTGCTAGAGACATTGCTTTCAATCAAATCAAATACGCACATAACAACAGCAACTCAGCCTGACCAGTATTCGTGTGAACACGTAAACAATGAACTGAACTCAAAAATCTTGTAGGTGGATTATGTGCATGGATGAAATTTTGAGGAAGAGATTAGTGATTAAAAACAGTGGAAACATTATGTAGAGCATCATAATAAACATATGCAAATTGGCTAAAGCATTAAGGATCAAAGAGTGTATAAACACTGGACTCGCGTAAAAAGTTTCTTGGTAATAATGCATTGAGGGCGATGAGCCGTACAAAAACGAAAGTGCTAGTTTGTCATTATCCATGTGCTCTCACATGTGAAATTAGGATTCAGCCCTCACTAGGCTGACGTTTCTACGTGAAGAAATCGTCAACATACTACGCGGCCTAAGTTGCCCTAATTAAGAATTAGAGCCGAGTGGACCCAGAGCCATGAAAAAGTGCGAGGGCGATAGGAGGTTTCATATATCTTTGTTTTTGACAAAATGAAGTTTGCAAGGATTTTAGAGCAACAGGAAAAGTATCAATGT